GGCAGAGAGCGTGGGTGGCCCGAAGGCACAGGGCAAAAGGGCGACAAAGGTCCATAATGGAAAAAAAAAGGACAGCAAGAAGAAAAAGGGCTGGGCCCACCTGTTTCAGGCTTCTTATCCACTTCCCAAGGGGAGTGGTCACGTAGCCCAATTGGGGTCAGGCAAAAGGGTAAGATCACACAGGGGCGTGGTGAAGGCATGGTCTTCCAGCTCACAAATCTAATCAATTTTATCCTACCTGCCTGCCTACATCAGAGCCAGGACTTGAACCCATGACTCCTATATGGTATATGGAAATCCTAGTGACAGATCAACTGCTGTGCCAGATGCTTGGCCTGTGATGCCCTTTTAATAAGTGCAATCAGAATCGATCTACAGACCCCAAATATAGAAAATTGGGCAGAGTAGAATAGCTCTGAGTGTCATAAAGGCAGGAGGGTAGGACCCCTACATCCTGCTTCTCCTTCTTCCTGGTGGCTGGGGGTATGCTCTGAGGTGTGGTGCTGAACCCCAGGGTGAGCACATTTGCTGAATAAATCATTCAGTAGCTCCTATAAAGGGAAGCAGTGAACCCCTAAAAACCAGCAAGCCAGGGTCTCCAGACCAACCTCGTTTTCCTGTCCATATGCTAGTCATGAAGCACTATAGCAGAATTCATCTGGATTTGAGCGACACACTTGGAGACACCTCTCACCGTAACCTTACAAACCAAGTGAGGGTTCTAGAAGGGTGCCACTAGATGATGCAAAACTGTTAAGCCCATCCCTGCGGGATTTCGGTTACAGGTTAATCAAATCTGCCAAAATTTCTAGTGGCCTGCAAAAAGGCTCTTTTCTCATTAGCTCCCTTTGGCCTTTCAGTAATAATGCTAACAGTTAGCATAGTAACAATAGTTATCCTTACTACATGTTACAATGCTAAGCACTTCATATGAAATACTGTAAAGTAGGTATTATTTTTATCAGTACCTTATAAATGAGAAAACCAATGCTCAAAATGGGCAATTAGCTTGCTCTGTGTCACATAACCAGCAAGTAGGGGAACTAGGACTTAAATCTCATCGACTCCAAAAATGTTGCTAATGGAGAAATGAGGACATCGGTGACTCTTTTATGAAGCATTCAGAGGTAGGTAATACGTCAGCTAATAAGATCACTATCCAAAAGAGCTACCCTCCAGCATGAGACCAAAATTTAAAATGTAGACTGTAGACGTTAAATGGAACAGAGAACACAAGTTCTAAGAAAAAAAAAAAAAAAACAAAAAAAAACAAAAAAAAAAAAACAAAACACACACACACACACAAGCAATGGGGGAAAACACAGCTACACTAATACAGGATGGGAGAGACAGGCCCTAACCACAGCACAGGTCACAGGTGGAAAAGTCGGCACTTTTCATTACAAAGGCTGAATAGATGGTGAAATATGACTGCCAGCAATTTTAGCGTGAACTTGGGCCATAGTATTAGATGTAGAAGGTCTGAAACAAGGGAAAGCCCTGGCCTGCTGGGTCTGCTTTTGTAAGACCCTGTCTGCAGGGGTCTGTGCTGGTATCATATTTTAAGAGGGATGGTGATGGGGGCCGGCGCTGTGGTGCAGGGTTAAAGCCCTGGCCTGAAGCGTCGGCATCTCATATGGGTCCTGGTTCTAGCCCCGGCTGCTCCTCTTCCAATCCAGCTCTCTGCTATGGCCTGGGATAGTGGTAGAGGATGGTCCAAGTCCTTGGGCCCCTGCACCCTTGTTGAGGGACCCAGAGGAAGCTCCTGGCTCCTGGTTTCAGATCGGTCCAGCTCCGGCCGTTTCGGCCATCTGGGGAGTGAACCAGTGGATGGAAGACCTCTCTGTCTAACTCTTCTGTAACTCGTCTTTCAAATAAATTAAATAAATCTTTTAAAAAAAAAAGAGAGGGATGGTGATGAAAGAAACTCAGTCATGCTGGAGAATACGTAGAAAGGACCTGGGAACACTTAGCTGGAAATGAGAAGACAGTAGGAATGTAAGGTCATTTCTCAAACTGTCTTGCAATAGAAGTGTACTTGTCTAGCAGAGAGAAGCGGCCTCTGGGGACACTATGGCTTTGTGTGTCTTCAACATTGATGACCAGTAGGAGCTCCAGGACCTGACCAGCAAAGGCAGCTGCCAACACGAAGCTTCCAAACTAGTGCTTGGAGAGTTTCAGCTAAAGATGGCAAGAACTGGTCCACAGCTTAACCTGCCAATGATTAAGTGTGCCCTCTCCAAAACAGAATCAAAACAAATATTAAAAAAAATCCAAAACTCTCTGATCGATGTGCACACACGCTTCACTGGGTACAACCAATCAAATTAAAGTACAGTGTCTTGCCAGACACTTCAGAAAGGCCTTAGAACAAAATCCAGGCAGCCAGGAAATGAGTGGGTAAATTGTAGGGTAAAGGAAGCTGTCACGACGCTCAGTGCTAGATGACAGTGGGAAGATGCCTACCATGTTCTGAGGGGAAAACTGCAGAATTTTACCCCAATTATTCTTCAGCACAAAGGCGGTAGGCAGAGTGTCTCAGCAAGTAAGACTCCGGGGACTATACAAAGGGGCCTCCAAAAGTTCATGGAAAATCTAATTAAATGATGCTTATTTTGGTGTAAAAAAATGTTGAAACCCAGGCATATCAGAATTATTAAAAATGCTCATAGAAACTGTGTATCTTAAAAAATACATGGATTTCATTTTTTTGCACCAAAATAAACATCATGTAATTACATTTCCCAAAAGCTTTTTAAAAAACAAACTTATCTTCAGCTCCATTAATTAATTATGTATGTATTTATTTATTTATTTATTAGAGAGAGAGAGAGAGAAACAGATGTATTGATAGAGAACTTCCATCCATGGTATATTCCCTAAATGCCCACAATAGCAAGAGCTGGGCCAGGCCTGAAGCCAGGAGCTAGGAACTCAATCCAGTTCAATTAACTGAGCCGTCACCACTGCCTGTCACAGTCTGCATTAACTGAAAGCTGGAATTAGGAGCCAGCACTGGGAATCAAACCCAAGTATCCACAGTGTGGCCTGGGCATCTTAACTGCTGGGCTAAAGTCCCTAAATTTTTTGAAGTAGCCTTGTACTGTGGGCCCTTACTGAATGAATCATGTTGATAAAGTTGAAACACAGGCAACTTGGAGATCACTCAAAATAAACAAATATAAAAAAATGAAATCCAGGGAATCAGGGAATCAGAAATTACCATTGAATCCATATCATTGGGATTTATGCTATGGAAGTGAATTTATCAAAGTCGGGTAAGTTTAAGAAGGGAATTGGGAGCAAATTATGAAGGTATATTAGGAAGTCAAAATGTCTTATCTAAAATTGAAATAGTTGTTTAAAAACACTCCAACCTATTGAAATTTTGAAAATGTTTTAATTTACTCTCTTTTTATTTGAAAGGCAGGAAGACATATACACACAGAGAGAAACAGAAGCACACAGAGAGAGGGAGAAATATTCTATGCCCTGGTTTATACCCTACATCTCCCTAACAACCAGGGCTGGGCCAGGCAAAAGTCAGAAGCTCAGAATTCAATTGGGGATTTAATCAGGGTCTCCCTGATGGGTGACAGGGATCCAAGTACTTGAGCAATCATCTGCTTGCCTCTCAGGGTGTATATTAGCAGGAAGCTAGAATTGGAAATGGAGTTGGGACTTGAATCAAGGCACTCCAATATAGGATGCCAGTATCCCAAGTGGATTCTTAACTGCTACACCAAAGGCCTACCTGTAAGTGTTTTTTTTTTTTTTAAATAATCTTTTCTACTTAATTGTAAGGGTTTATTTTTAAAGGGAATACTATCTTTGAGTTATCAGGATATATTATCCGAAGTTTGGCATTTTCCCCGTTTTTCACTTTAGTTTCCTTTTAAGAGGGATCAAGTTTAATAGTTTGTTAGAATGGTATGTAGGACATGGTGGATAATTTAACATCTCTTCCAACCTGGGTTTATTATGTCCTCCTGTTGTCTGGGGGCTGGAATGATCCAATCGTATCTCTAGATTCCCTCGTAGCTCATATTCCAGAGGACACAGGTGCCACCCACCAGCTGAGACTTGAACTGAGCTGAGTGGAAGAAGGCAAGGAGATGAAAAAGGAGGCCCCTGTGGTGGAGCTCAGCCAGCCACCGTGCGGCTCTGGAGCCCACAGTTCTGGTGGGACTTCCTGTCTCCTGGTTTCCTGGAACTACCCCGGAAAAAGCAGCTCCTTGGGCCCAGATCACACCAGAGGGATCTATTTCCTGTGCATTTTGAAACATACTACCACACAGCAGGGCACTTCAGAAAGTTCCTGGGAAAACAGGATTGAAAGATAAGTTTATTTTGAGGCAAAAAAATGATTGAAATCCATATTTAAGAGGGGTCTTCAAAAAGTTCACAGAAATGTCTATTTGGAAAAAAAAAACCTATGTATTCAAAATTTTTGCACCAAAATAAATTTATCTTTTAACTCCATTTTCCCATAAACTTTCTGCAGTACCCTCATGTGGTGGCTTAAAACAGTAGAAATGTGAGGTAAGATGTCTGTGTCTCATATTGGAGTACCTGTGTTGGGGTCCCACCTCCCGCTCCTGACTCCAGCTGCCTGCTGGCCCAGGTCCTGCCACCCACATGAGAGACCTGGATTGATTTGCTAACTCCCAGTTTCAGGCCCAGCTCAGGCCCAGCCCAGCTTCAGCTGTTGTAGGCATTTGCAGAGTGAACCGGACGTTGAGAGCACTCTCTGTCTCTTGCCCTCTATTTTTTGCCTCTCAAAAAATTAAATAAATTTTTAAAATGAAAAAATGGAAATGTATTTCCTTACTCCCATAGAGGCCAGACTGAGTATCACTGGGCTGAAATCAAGGTGTCAGCAGGGCCAGACAGAAAGGCTCTAGGGAAAACCCGTTCCTTACCTCTTCCACCTTCCATCCCTTGCTTTGTGGCTACCTCACTCTGACCTCTGCCTTCATCTTCCTTCACTTGTCTTACAGGGATACATATGATTGCTCTTAGGGCCCGCTCTGATAATCCGGGATAATCCTGACTCAGGAGCCTCCACTTCAGTCACACCTGCAAACAGCTTCTGCACAAGTCCAGGTTCTAGGAATATCTCCTGAGGACACGCTTATCTTTGGAGGCCCATTTTCAGCCCACCGTAAGTGGCATCATCCTGGAGCCTGAACTTGGGACAGTAGCCTCTACTTCTCCAGATAGATTCCTGCTGTGGTGGGGGAGATACTGCCTGGAGCACCAGTTGTTCTGGGCGTCATTCCTAAGAGCCAAAGCCTGAAGCCTCCTCCAGCCCTTCCGTGATTGGATTTGCGCCCAACGCCCTGTCTGCCTGAACCATGAGAGTGTCTCTGTTATGTGCAACTCAATCCTACATCCACCGATATGATCACCTGTTGACACCATTTTTTACATTTCTCTTTCTACATTTGTATCTGCATAACTTGGCTAGAACTTTGCTGTATAACAGGTACAGAGAATAAAACACTCTTCTTGCTTTGTGGTAACAGTTGCTGTGGTGGGTGCAACACAAGGAAGTGGGGGTTGGGATCTAAATTTTACTACAGTCTGTTAGAATTAATGCAATGAAGTAAGGAGTTCAGGTACATTCTCTGTCCCTTGGGTTTCCTCTCCTCCCTGATCCTCGTTTTGTGACATCCTGGTGGTGTCAATGTAGAGGGAGGACAAAGTCCTCAGGTCTATGCTTAATCCTCCAAGCATCATTGATCTCTGCTGGGAACTGGCTGCCCTAGGCTGTTTCCTGGCTGGTGGGTGGCTCACAAGACACTTGACCCTAGAGCTTACGGTCCTGGTCATCTACCTCTGAACTGGCAGATCCGCACATTCAGGCTTCTGCCTACCCATAGAAGCAACTCCTCTGTCTGCTCTCAGACACACAGGAGCTTCTGGGTCCCCTAAAAGTGACTCACAAGCCATGGGAGAGTGAAGAGCATCGTCTCAGGCTGTACTATCTGCCTACCTGGGCCCTGTCAGCACTGCTGCAGCATATTGGAGGTGGGGGAAAGCAGGTGGGTCCTGGTGAGAATCTCCTTGCAGTACTGTGGGAAAGCCCTTGAGGTCTTGGCCCCTCCTTAGCTCTCTGGATGCTCTGATCCTCTGTGCCCAACCTGGGTCTGAGGGAGCTGAAAACCAGAACCTGTCTCAGCGCTCCTTTTGCACAATTTCTGGGGCCAGAGTGAGTCGGCTGCGGGGTTTCCCACCTCATCCGCGGCTTGTCCTCTTCTGACACGCACTTCCTGGAGTGGCCAGCCCCAGGGCATTCTCAGGTGGGGAGGGAGGTCCAAGCTATCGTAGGGAAGAAACTCTGGCCAGAGTCCTTCTGATTTAGTTCTGGTGTTACAGGAAAGATAATAGAGACTGAGAATTGTCTCTCTCGTTCTCTCTCAACTCATGAATATTTTCTTGTTTGAAATCAAGGGGTCAAAGAACTCAGAAATCAATGTTCCCTATTCCAGGCAATACTTTCCGAACCCAGACAAAAAAAAAAAAAAAACCTTGTAACTCCATAACTCAACCCTGACGGTGCAAGGTTCCTGGGGAACCAATTAAGAAGAAAATTAGAATGGATCAGTTTAATGCCTAAGATTATCTGTTACCTTCTATATTAAGAGAAGTCTGCAACGATATTAATGAAACATTAATCGTGGTTATTTTTGGATTCAGGCAACTGAGGTGGATTACTTTATTCCTTGCATTTTTGGTGACTTCTTGAATTTTTAAAAGTAATCATTAGTCTGATTTTAAAAAATCCTCAATAACTTGGCTTGAGTCTTTTGTTTCTGCAGCTCATTTCCCACCCCCTACCCATTTCAAGAACTGATATCTTGTAGACTTCCCATAATTCCACATTCACCCATTCATTAATGTACCGTCATTTACTGTGCTCCAGGTCATATGTTAGGTATTAAGGACAGAAATGAATAAATGCCATATTTGCCTTTTAGGAAACCACAATTTAGTGGAAAATACTAAGGATACAACTCCAGCACATTCTGATGAGTACGATTATGTGATTTTATGACTTTGCACATCATAAAGGATTGAGTCAACTTTGCAACCCTACTTTCTTACACATCTGTCTTTGAGCCAGGCCATAGCATCGGTGTGGGGGACAAAAACACATTTCCTTGGGAGAGTTTTGCATCAGGAGGCCCTCGGGACTCCCAAGCTTGCGAGTCAAATTTCCCCTGAAGACTGTGAGACAGACTATACCGGCTGGGACCCTCCTGACCTTCGACCTCTACCTGCAGGAAGCAAGAGCTGTTCTAAGAAATGAGAAGTGACAGATTCTATATCACAGATCAAACAAACCACAGGTGACAGGACGGGCAGCTGCACAAAGCCTGGCCTGGGAGGAAGTGACTAAGGCTTGGAGTCCGAGTCTCTCTGTACTTTTCCTCACAGGGGGACTCTCTTCCAACCTGGTTTCTACACTGAGCTGACTCACTGGCTTCTTCCTCCTACAGTGTCAAGACTTGCCTGTATTCCAACTGCACTGCTGAACGAATGGGGAGATAGCTTGTTCAAGGTAGACTGCTGAAAACTTTTTTTTTCATTTTTCATTTCTATTTCTAGACATGTCACTGACTTGCTGAGTCATAGTTGGCAAGCTCAACACTCTCTTTTCCCCTTGTGTTCCATCTGGATAATATAGTTTATGAAAAGCTCTAAGGCATTTTATTTCGAAAAAGGTATACTCATAAAAATGATAGTTGTATTTACCAAAAAGCTTTGGCCTATACATAGCTCAATTAAAACATTATCTTACTGCAATAAAAATATTTTGGTCTAATGTTTTCTTCACTGAGATGAAAGCTCCTTGAAAATGAGGACTATTTGTTTCCATCTTTCTGTTCCCAACACTCACTGTGGTCAGGTTTAATGAAACCAAATATTCTCTACTTGTTCCTTGAATGCAATAGGATATCTGTGCATGTTGGCAAACAGCCTAGAACTGTCATAAAGTTTTGTAGGGGCATTGGGCATCTTTTGGGGGACAAGTGTATGGCTTTCATCTTATATTCAAAGGTATGATTCAAAAAATTGCTTAAAATCCTAAATAATATGATGAGAGTTTAGCCTAGTGGTTAAGACATCTGCATCTTACATCAGAGTGCCTGGGTTCAATTCTTTGCTCCAGATCCTGGCCCCAGCTTCCTGTTAACGCAGACCCTAGGAGATGGTAGTGATGGCTCAAGAAATTGGGTTCCTGCCACTCACATAGGAGATCTGGATTGAATTCCTTTCTCTGGGCTTTGGCCAAGTTCAGCTCCAGCCTTTTGTGGGTATTTGAGGAGTGAACCAATGAACGGGAGTGCCCTTTCTCTCTCCTCCCCAACCCCTGCATTTCAAAAAAAAAAAAAAAAAGTTTTTTAAACCATAAAGGATTTAAAGCCATAAAGGATTTAATGATTTATTTATTTATTTGAAAGGCAGAGTTAGAGAGAGAGATAAAGAGAGAGAGAGAGAGACACGTTCTATCTGCTGGCTCAATCTGCAAGTGGCCGCAATGGCTGAGGCTGAGCCAGGAGCTTCTTCCGGATCTCCCACGCGGGTGCAGGGGCCCAAGGACTTGGGCTGTGTTTCACTGCTTTCCCAGGAACATTAGCAGGGAGCTGGAATGGAAGTGGAGCAGCTGGGATTTGAACTGGAGCTCATATGGGATGCTGGCACTGCAGGCAACAGCTCTACCTGCTACGGCACAGCGCTGGCCCCAAGAATATATTCATTGAAGGAATGATTGAAGAACCATGACTCTTCTTTCTAAACTTAAACTACTTATTCTGGTCACCTCTCAGAAATACCAGAGTTCTGGAGGAGCCTACACAATTTCACAGTGTCCGCGTTGTCTTTGAGACATCAAATTCAACAGGAAGAAAGAAAAAGAGAAGGAGAAGTTGAGCATTATGACTGGTGTACTGACACTGAAGCAGGAAAGAGCCAAGCGATAGGAAGACTAGCATTTAATATTATGTGCTTGCCCTAGCCAAATGGCTATATGCCTGGATTATGTACTTTAACTAGATAACTATTGTAAAGCCCTTAGTACTCACAGTATTGTACAAAGGAGAAAACACTGAATAAATACTTGATGGTGCTAAGAAAGAAGCTAGATAAAATAAAAATAAGATAGTTACTGTAAAGATGTTACCACAAAAGCTCTGCTAAAACTTTATTTTGCCAAAAATATGTTAAGAATATTTTTGGACTTGAGTTATAAATGTGATTTCTAAATTGATACTCTTTTAATGTTTTTAAAAAATCAGATGAAGTGTAGAGACAAACTAAAACTGTATCAACATTTCTAATTTTGTATAGCTTTATTTGTGACTTTTAAAAAAATCTGCTTCTCCTCAGGAAAGCTAAACCTAAACTTGGATCTATTTTTGTTTTGTTCAAACTTCCATTTTGTGCTGAGCACAGGGCTTTACTTCCATTGGTGCATCAGAAATATTGGTGATAAACATGAATAAGAATAACCAGTTACAAGCAAGTTGTCAAATCTCTCACAAGTGAGATTGTCCCACTCTCAGAGATGTAGCTTATTTCTGCAGCAGGGTGCGTGATGGACCACATTAAGTTCAGAGCTAGGCTCTAGACTGCACGTGTGATATGGAGAGAGATGTGTTACACCTGCTTCCTGGTTTAGAGATATGAGAAAGTCAACTGGACTGCAAAATTTAAAGTCTATATTTGTTTAATCTTACAGAATTTCACTTTTAAATTTTCTTGACTTTTTAGAAACTTTGAGAGCCAGAGAGAGTGTGTGTACACTCCCCTTTAGTGGTTCACCCCTCAAATGCCCACAACAACCAGGACTGAGTCAGGACCAGAGCCAAAAGCCAGAGCACAGTGCAGCTCTCCTACAGGGGTGGCAGACGCGCCGTCACTGGAATCACTGCTGCCTCCCAGCAACTGCACCAGCAGGAAGCTGGAGTCAGGAGCCAACGCTGGGAATGAAACCCAGGCACTTCGAGGTAGGCTGTGGGCACTGTAACCACCAAACTAGCTAATACCTAGTCCCTAGCCTTAGCTTTTAAAAACAATTTATTTATTTGTTTGAAAGTGAGAGTTACAAAGAGAGAGGAAGAGACAGAGAGAAAGAGAGAGAGAGAGAGAGAGAGAGAGAGAGAGAGAGATCTTTCATCCACTGATTTACTCTCCAAATGGCTGCAACGGCTGGGGTTGGGCCAGGATAAAGCCAGGAGCCAGGAGCTTCTTCCAGGTCTTCCACGTGGGTGCAAGGGCCCAAGCACTCGGGCCATTTCCCACTGCTTTCCCAGGCCATAACAGAGAGCTGGACCAGAAGTAGAACAGCTGGGACTCAAACTGGTGCCTATATGGGATGCCAGCGCTGCAGGTGGAGGCTTTACCCACTACACCACAACACCAGCCCCAACCTTAATTTTTTTAAAAGGAGAGAAGGGAGGAAGGGAGGGCCCCTTTCTTTTTTAAAGATTATTTATTTGAAAGAGTTGCAGAGAGA